TTTTGGGGGGAAGATGTCACCCTGAGGATTGTAATGTCGTATTGTTTGGAGAAGGCCTGAGGTATTTCTAAGAAAAGTGGTATTCCCAGGAGACAGTATCATATTTGGGGGAGTGGGGGAGGGGTCATCATCTATTTGGGAGAAAGCTGGTATTTCTGGGAGAAAACATCCTCTATTGAAGAGCCAAGGGGTATTTCTGGCAGGAAATGTCCCACATTTGGGAGTCAAGTGGCATTTCTGTGATAAATGCCGTATTGTTGGGAGTAAGTGTCATATGAAGGTGTGCAAAGTAGTCTATTAGGGAGGAAATTGGAGGTATTGCTTTGAAAGCTGGTATTTCAGGGAGAAAACGTTTTCTCTCTGGGGGGAAATGTCATCTGTTTGAGAGAATGCCGATAAGTCTGGAAGAAGATCTATTTTTGGAGGAAACTGTAATATTAGGGAGAGAAAAGTGGTATTGCTGGTCAAAGATGTCTTAGAGTTGGGATAACGCTGGTGTTTCTGGGAGAAAATATCCAAAATATTTTGGATGCAGATGTGGTCTTTAGGGTTGAAATGTGGTATTTCTGGGAGGAAATGGAATATGCATGAGAGAAAACTGTTCCTTTGGGGAGAATGTATCCTATTTTTGGCAGAAAATGTCCTATTGAGCAGTTTAAATCTGCATTTTTTGGAGAAAATGTAAGTTATCAAGAAAACTGGTATTTCTTGGAGATTATCACATATTTGGTTGGAAAACGTGGTATATTTGAGAGAATGCTAATATTTCTGGGAGAGCATAGCATATACTTTTAAGAGAACACAGAGTACTGAGAGGAAATGTCATCGTTTTTTGGTGAAAAAAAAACATACTTAGGGGAATAGAATCGTGTTTCTGGAAGAAAAAGTGAGAAAACTGGTATTTCTGGGAGAAAATGTCATACATGAGGGAGAAGAACGGTATTTCTGTGAATGAAGGCCATCGAGAATTTCTGCATTTTTTTCTTTTTTCTTTTTTTTTCTCTTT